TATAGGAAATGTTAATAATTTTTCCTTTATTTCAGAAGATATATAACATCAAGTCTCTTAAAAAATACTTGAGGAGCACTTACCACCTAAAGGAAAGCATATTTCACTATTAGACAATCTTGTTTGTTAGAAACATTCACTTTTAATAATTTTAAGTATTTTTTTTTGCGTGTAAACTCAGCCTAGATTTTGTTCTAAAGAAATTCTTAATCTATTAGACTGTGTGACTTGTTTCAAATATGCTGATGATTTCAGCAATTAGATTGACAAGGCGACTATATTATCTTTGAGAATGTTTAAATTCTTTGACTCTAGATTATAACCTAAGCTTTTACTTTGATACAAACTGTCTAATAAGTGACTTGCAATCATCTTTCTTCTTCCCAGTAATGAACATTGCTTGTCTATTAAAATAACTGTTTCATTGGTATCTGTCATTGCCCAAACATATGGATAACTGTGAGAGTTCCCAAGCATTTTTTATGTTTACAACTAATTCAGACTATCTAGAATTATGTTTCATTCCTAAGTTCTTGCTGTAGTTAGCTCCTGAAGAATATACACCATCTCAGAGTTATTTTCAAAGTAATACTCAATGAAAACACTACTAATTTTTCAGAATGAAACATAAAAGGAATCCACTTTATGTCCTTGATTTAAGAAAACAAAATGCCTACTTCACCTTATATTTTCCTTACTTTCCTTAATAATACTTGAGCATCCTTAGGCCCCTCCTCTTTGAACAGTTTCTTAGAAGCCCACCTGAGAGTGCAGAGCAAATTCCACTATCCCTTTCTGTCTATTGCAGATGCAGCTTGGTTTGATGGATTGTCTGCTGGAGGCCATAAAGGACACTTGCTAATATTTAAACTCAATTTCACTATTTAAGTACGGATTCTTTTCAAATTAAAGCATTCTTAACCATATTTCCCAGAAAATGACACGTCATTAGTCTCCCTCTCTCCCTCCAAGTATAGCTTAGAAAAAGGAAAGATAGCATCTGTTTGTTTGTTCACAGTATTTTTCATAGCTGCTTTATTAATAGTACATAATAATAAAAACAACTAATATTTATGGAATATTCACTTACATTAATACATATACCACACAATAACCCTGTGAACAATATCCTGTAATAGAAAGTGAAAACAGACAAAATAGAATGTTTAAGCTCAAACATAAATAAAGTGAGAGAACCTGAACTCAAAACACATAACTGTAAGTCCAAATTTTAGCTGGTATGCTATACTGCCTCTCTACTTAATACTGCTTTCTACTTCACCATTATCAGAGTTTACACTGTTGCTAAATGTCCTGCTTCTGTATGTGTCCTCAGAAAAAGTCTCTTTTACTCCTTACTCCTTAAAAGACGATATTCTGAATATTCTGAATAGTGTCAATTCATTGAAAGAGGGCATTTTTCAGAATGGTAGTTCAGTTCCCATGTCCTCAAAACTGTTTCACATCTAACAAACTATGGTTTTTCTGTTTTATAATTTCTTTATTTTTAGTTTTTGGTTTTGTTGTTTTTTGACACAGGGTCTCACTCTCTCATCCAGGCTGGAGTGCAGTGGTGTGAACCAGGCTTATTGCAATCTGGACCTTCTGGGCTCAAGCCATCCTCCCACCTCAGCCTCTCAAGTAGCTGGCAGCATGCAGTATACCCAATCAATTAAAAAAAATAAAATTTGTAGAGATGAGGTCTATATTGCCCAGGCTGGTCTTGAACTCCTAGGCTCAAGTGATCCTCCTGCCTCGATCTTCCAAAGTCCTAGGATTACAGGTGTAAGTCGTCATGCCAGGCCATAAGCTTAAATTTTAAATAAAATTCTAAGCACTTTCCCCTTGCTGATTAAATATTTCTTAAATTAACCTGGCATACTTATAATGTTTTAAACTGAAATACTGGTTATAAAACACTTTCAAATCAAACACAGGTATCTAGATTTGTCTATGAAAAGAAAAATCATTGCCCAGTACTTAAACTAAACTTTCATTTCTTCCTATTGTTTCTTTCCATTTTATATGAAATAAAAAATATGTACATATATATTTCAAGAAAATGCCTGTATAAAACCAGATATAGAAGAGATATTGAACGTACAAACAGGAAAACATTGCAGAAATCAATAACCAATGGCTATAATAAGATGGAGGTGGAAGTTATTGTTAAAATACATTTGTTTATAGTATGCTCTTATATTCTGATTTTCCCTGGAGTAAAATAAAAATTTCAGAAAAACTGCTTTCCTTTGAGTTACAGAGAATATAATATTAATATGAACACACACTGAAATCCACTCCATTACTTAAATAACTCTAATTTCTTATAATACTGTTATTAATTTTATATTATCCTTAAGATGCCCCGCCCCTTTATAAAAATGATATTTCTTCCATGTAAGGAATGCTTAGTCACCTTTTTAGAAGTAATCTGAGAGAGTTATTCAGGGAACTATATTTTCTAGACCTATTGATCTGATCTACATGGCTCTCTTGCTTTAGAGAGTTAGAGTGCTAAGTTGTAGAGTTTTATGCTATAGATATGTTCATACAAACCACAGATATATTACACACACACACACACACACACACACCCTATATCCAATGGCTCAGATCCTATGATTACAGAATAATCAAACTGTTTTAAATCTTCAAAACTGGACATTGGGAGGGTTCCTTGCCTCTACAACTTCGCATAATGCGTCTCTTCACAGAAAATTCATCTTACCACTTATTTGCCCACTGAACTTATTCATTCCTTCACCTTTTCCTCTCTCCTTAAGTATTCATTTGTGAAATAAAGCAGATATACTGAACTAGTAATATTACTGATTAAAATATGCAACAGGTCTTCTGTAAACAATATATAATATATTATTTAAATTTCAATTGTCTCACTCTAAAAAGACGTAGAATAGCACTTATTACCTCTAACGGCTTTATTATGGAGGTTCTAGCATAGTACCATCACTGTAAGCAGTGTCAATTTATAAAAAAGCAATGAGAATTATTTAAGAACAAGCACTTTATGGTTATAAGAACAAAAATTTTTAAATGGTAAGAGCATGAGTTAGTTAATTGAACTGAAATTATTCACAGATTTTCCTATGAAATGTGTTACCTTTAAAAATGAATCCATATCAATACTATGCAGCCATAAAAAAGAATGAGTTCATGACCTTTGCAGGGACTGGATGAACCTGAAAGCTGTCATTCTCAGCAAACTAATACAGGAACAGAAAACCAAACACTGCATCTTCTCACTCACAAGTGGGAGTTGGACAATGAGAACACATAGACACAGGGAGGGGAACATCACACACCCAGGTCTATCAAGGGTTGGTAGGCAAGAGGAGGGAGAGCATTAGGTCAGAAACCTAATGCATGCAGGGCCTAAAACCTAGATGATGAGTTGGTAGGCGCAGCAAACCACCATGGCATGTGTATACATGTGTAACTAACCTGCACATTCTGCACATGAACTTAAAGTAAAAGAAAAAAAAAAGGAATCCATATCATTAATGAGGAATTAACAAGTTTAAAGAGAGGAAAAGCATTACTGAAAAGAATAAAAAATAAGAACAATATCCTTAGGGAGTGTGATAATATATGTTATATAGAAATTGTCAAAAGCTTTCAAAAATATTTATATGATTATTTATGGCTTTTATTTATTGGCGGCTTCCAAGTTCATCTCTTGACCTAACTTTCTAGAGCTGTAATATTTCAACAATTTTTTGCCATCTTCACTATATTTTTGGACTCTAAGAACATGTTGGAAGGAGGAATTATTCCTTCTCCAGTATCATTATGACCAGCCTTTAAGCTAGTTCTTAACATTAAGCACTAGGGGACTCTGCCAATCTTGAATCACCAGTTCCCATTTCTGAGGTGCTGTTTCTATGACATGGGCTTTAATATATTATGCCAATGTTCTTGCCAGAATTAATCTTGGCAAGAGACCATGATTTCTCTAACTGATTCTTCAGTTACAACACAATATAGCACATCCACATTTCTAAATGTTCACAATTAAAAAATTAGAACTATTGGTCTATGGAAAATTGTTTGATACATAATCTACAAGAGAGAGAAAAACTAAGTTTTTAGCTATTCATAAGCTTCAAATAATTGGAATTATAAAACTTCTGCATGCTCATATTCTAAAATTTTGTTACATATATTTATTAAATAAATTTCAATAACTAAAACAGCCAATTTATCTGGGAAGTTCTTTGAACCTGTTCCCAATTAAAGAGAAATAAATTAAGTTGGAATTATCTTTAAGAAAAAGACATTTTCATTTCTGTATTGTTATATAATTAGCTAGTATATTTATAACTTTTAATATATTAAAGAAACCAAAGCTATCTATATTTTCTTATTTTAAAATATCAATATAGAAATTAAAAATTTTAATATTATTTTTAATTTTCTTCTTGTATTCTGAAGATTGGATACATTTTTAAAGTGTAAAATGTGTGTCAGTTAGTAGAACACAAATAACATAAACTTCTGGACAAGTTGGACAGCTAAGAGCCATTTTCTTAATATAAATTTCAGTTAAATGAATTATTTTATATGAACACTTAATTCAAACAAATTTTTAAATAATAACATGCTATGCAAACATGGGCACTATATATTGTTTCCTATTACCTAGAGGAGTTACATTTATAAAATTATTAAAGCTGAGAACTCACTCTATAAGAGGAAATTAGGAGCTTGAGTACCTGTAAAGAAGGCATTCTCCTGTATAAGTATTTAGAGAATGTGTGAAATTTTAATATCTTTTTTAAAATGATGGCCAATTGTTTGCATGAATATTCATTGCATACTGGGAATTCATGGACAGACAAACAGGTTTATATTACCCTTAGTGTTTTAAAAATCTTGGTTCTCATAGATCAATAGACTAACTTGTGAAATTTTTTGGCAAAACTCTTCAAATGTAATATTCTAAAATTATATCACATGTAAGTTTGTGACAAGTTCCTGAAGTTTTTATTTTGGTCTCTACCTATATATTTACCAACTATAAAAAACAAAATGGAATTATAAATTTCCCAAATCGGGCAAAATGATCAGTAAATTTTTCAGTTCATAAAATAACTCAATGAATCCCATGTTATTTTATGGTATTTTTAGCTATGTTTGACAAAAAATCTCTCAAGAACAAACACATCTTCAAATGTAAAGTATATTTATTATACATTATTAAAATTATAAACACCATCACTTTTAAATTTATACACTACTAATTTAAGATAAAATGATTCTTTACATTTTGGTTAATGTAAGCTAGTTTGCTTACAATCTGGTTGAGATTAGTACTTAAACCCGGCAACTTCTATTATTTACAGTGATACAATGTTTTAGTTTTAACTAGAACTTTAATAACCAACATTAGTGTATGCCAGAGTGGTTAAACTCAAGGATCTTGTCTCTATTTAATAAGATAGAACTGGAAACATGGAAAACAAACAAAAAAAAAGATGTGCTAACCCCAATGTTACTGTTAAAGTCCAGAAGACATGGTGATAGCAATTAAGAAACAGTTCATATAAAAACTCAGAGATGCGTTCCTCCCAGGTTTCTGCCTGCGGCTCCTGGGCTGTCACAGTTTGGAGTCTCATGAAGACGGCTTGCGTTGCCACGTGGTCCCCAGCCAACAAGGACAGGTTTATGTGTATCTATCCTACTGATTTAAACAATAAGAAGACCATCACAGAGGGAAGGCGAATCCCCATAAGTAAGGCTTTTGAAAATTCTACAGCTATGGAGATTCAAGATGTATGTTCAGCAGTTGGACTTATCCTATTTCTTGAGAAAAGTAAAATGTACTCTAGAGAATGGAATCGTGATGTTCAATACAGAGGCAGATTCCAGATACAGCTCAAACAGGAAGATGGCAGCCTCTGCCTTGTACAGTTCCCATCATGTAAGTCAGTAATGTTGTATGCAGCAGAAATGATAACTAAATTAAAAACAAGGACACAAAAGAACAGGAGGTGGTGACCAAAGTCTTCAACAAAAAGAGGGAAGTAAAAAAGGGAAAGGAAAGAAAAAGAAGTAACCTAGTATCAACATCAAGTATGTGGTACTACTGTAAGAGACATGGTGGCTTCTAATTTGTATCAGAGGAAACAGAAGCTTTTTGTTTGCATCATTTAACTCAACTGTGAACCCTTGTGCCTCTCATCTTTATCATCGGAATTGACAGTGAAAAAAATTCACATCAGAAGTTTGCATCTCACTTTTAGGAAGTATAAAACATTTTTTGTGTCTTTCAATGCAGTTTTTTATGGAAGAAAGAATATTTTTAAACCAACAATGGACTGTACAATAAGTTACTTGTTTCAGATGAATTTCAATTAGATTTGAAATAAACATTTTGTCCGCCTTTTAAGTTAATGAAATAAAATTTGAAACTGAAAAAAAAAGGAAACAGTTTATAGAAGAATAGCAGGCAGTAAAGTTGAGAAATTTACTATAATCTCTTAGAAATATTTTTAGCTTGATGACATTTTGAATAATCAGACAAAAATTCTCAAATTTAGGATTTTATTATATGTCATATTTAAATATAAGTGCATATGAAATTATTCATTAATGTAAACTCAAATTATTTTATTGACTTTGAAAGTTGGAAAAAAATTAGGGATTATCTAGATTAGAAGTCATCAACTGGTCTGCACAACAAAATTTGCAGGGCTTCTAAAATGTAGCTATCTTTTCTAACTACTCATGTCTCCTTCCCTATTAAATTTATATGGAACTATATATGGAACTAAAGCCTCATCACTTCAAAACACAATTCAAGTAAATGTGTTAAACACTAAAAGGTGTTTCTTTTTCCACTGGCATCTATGCTCTTGTACCTGTAGATGTCTCTATTTTTTGGTTTGTATAAACATTTATATTTATATATATATTTATGTATATATATTATACCTGTTATATTTAGATATATATTTGTATAGCTATATTTATATGCTCATTTATACCTATACAAATATATATTTGCACACATATAAATGTATATATTTATACTTGTGTGTGTTTGTGGGTATAGACACACATGCACATGGGGGGATACTTAAGGATTCAAGTACATAAAATGCTAATTTAAAAAACCTAATTATGTATTTTTAAGACATGGACAGATGAGTGAGGGAGATGCCTTTGTGTAAAGGTAAGAAAAGTACCTTTTCTTTTTTCAAAACAAATGGGGAACAATATAGTACATTTTTTATACCTATAAATGAGAATAGCTATGATTTCTGGAAAAGAACACAAGCTGTGACTTGGAAAGAAAGGAGATCCCAGAAGGCATTTCTGGTACAGTGGTGCACAATCAATCAAACCAGTGGATTCCCAAGTTCCTAAACTGGGCCAATAGTAGTGTGATAGTTTTTGTTTGTAAATGCAGCATGCTGTCTGCTAAAAAAAAGAATCGTATTTAAATATATTTTCAGTATTACATTTGGAAGTAATTGTACATATAATCCATAATATAAAACTATTGTACATTAATAATGAGTTTGTGTACTTTTTAAATACTGTTCTAGAAATTGTGGGAAAACTATACCATATGGCAATATGCCTAACTCCAAAAAAACGAACGTTATTGTTGTGAGATAAAACATTTATATATTAAATCTTTTAAAAATTCTGTATGCTAAATCAATCACCTGAGACTGTTACAGGTTTTTAGAACACAGAAAGAGATAGCAGTTAAAAAAGAATTCTTACAGGAAGTAGGGGATAAATACAGTATGGAAATTCATCTTAAGCCAGAAAAAAATTATGATTGATCATTCTTTTCTCTTTTGCCATTATAAATGGCCAGATGAGAAACTCTCAAATCCTTTCAGTAATTAGGTTTCCATTTTAATTTTACTAAATAAATGTGTGTCCATTTGTTGGTTAATGTAAGATTCAATTTTTTTTCACATAATTTGAGTATAGGAATTAAGTCAGAGATTATCTAGCCTACTGTTTTTGAATTGTTTGTTCTGGAATTATCTTAAAGTCTTAAAAATTAAAAGTACCCAGTTTTCCAAGGATTCTAATTTTGTAGGCCTATGATGGGTTCCAAGAATTTCTATTTTGAGCAAGCCACTCATCTGACTGTGATGTGCAGGATGTGTAAGATCACTGCTTCAATGAATTGTTGGATACATACTAGAAAATATGTTTGAGGATTTGATGGAAAATTCCAAGTCTTTGCTGTAGAGTTCAAGATGCAAAATGATAGTTATAGATTCCTAAAATGTTCCAATTCCCCAATTAGGTTTAGGTTCAGGTATTTCTATTTTTTATATAAACTTTGTATTTGCCTTGTGTAAAGTGACAGATTTTTCGGTGTAAACTATATTTTGTGAGTGCTTAATGGCTTAATTTTTCTAACATGATTATGATGGATTATTTATGATACATTATATGATACAATTCATGATTCAATTTTTTGGACTAATCTAAATCAACAAGAGCTATACTAGCAGTACTACTATTCATATGATACATTTCATTTAGTTTACATGAAATTTCAGTAGAGCTCTAATGTCAATGATTTATTGTCCCCATAAATGTAGCTCTTGGACTCAGGTTCTCATTTTTACTAAGTTAATGAGAACTAAATTTTTTATCTACATGGAGAAAATGTTTAGGTAGCAATTAAAACAAATCATCTGGAACATGCACTGAAACATCTCCTTAAATTTTATATATCAATATTTTTAAACAATCTTATAAAATCTCAAATGGAAAATCAGAAAAAAATGATGATGTTCATCAGATAAAATGTTAAGAAAAGCGAGGGATAATTCCTTAAAATTTGTGATCAAATTACATAACTTTTACTCTAAAATATTCTTAGGTGCATTAACTGTGTGCACCAGTGATTTCCAAACAGCAGGCTGTAGTACTATCAACAGCATATACCGAGTTAAAGTAATCAAAAAGTCTGAAAATTTGGCTTTAATAGTAATCAGATCAGTAGCTCTGAAGGGCTATACTGATATACATAAAGAGGTTTAGATACAATATTATGGATTAATGCATACCATCTGATCTATAGAATTGATATTTGATGGTCAGGAGAAATTTTTTAAAAAAAGAGAGAGAGAGAAATTGCAACTAAAATTTGAAAGCAAATGATAAAGCTGGTCAGTGCCTTTATCAGCACTTTGATCCTGAGGTTCATATTTGAAATAGCAGGAGATAAGGGAGCTGAAATCGAGGTACAGAAGGCTGCTTCAAGATTACAGTAGTTTTTAATGGGTAGCTAGCCCTGTCTCAAAACACAAGCAAAAAGTAAATTCTTTTTGGAAGAAGCCATCCTCAACTTTCACTCCAGGATTAATTAAATTTAGATCTCTCATATATGAAACAAAACCAGAGATCTCATAGAGGAAACTGACCCATTAAATGAGCATTTGCTAATACAATCAATAGGAATTTAGGCCTCTGGTGCTTCATATGTTTGAATTTTTTCCTCCTCCTCCTCCTCCTCCTCCTCCTCCTCCTCCTCCTCCTCCTCCTCCTCCTCCTCCTCCTCCTCCTCTTCCTCCTCCTCCTCCTCCACCTCTTCCTCCTCCTCCTCCTCCACCTCTTCCTCCTCCTCCTCCTCCACCTCTTCCTCCTCCTCCTCCTCCACCTCTTCCTCCTCCTCCTCCTTTTCCTCTTCTCCCTCCTCCTCCTCTGGAATCTCCCTCTGTCACCAGGCTGGAGTGCAGTGGCATGATCTCAGCTCATGCAACCTCTGACTCCCTGGTTCAAAGGATTCTCCTGCCTCAGCCTCCCGAGTATCTGAAATTATAGGCATGTGCCACCAACCTGGCTAATTTTTGTATTTTATTACAGACGGAGTTTCATCATGTAGGCCAGGATGGTGTCGATACCCTGACCTCGTGGTCCACTTTCCTTGGCCTCCCAAAGTGTTGGGATTATAGTAGTGAGCCAACTCACCCGGTTTCTTTCTTTCTTTCTTTTTTTTTTTTTTTTTTTTTGGAGACGGAGTCTCTGTCACCAGGCTGGAGTGTAGTGGTGGAATTTCGGCTCGCTGCAACCTCTGCCTGCTGGGTTCAAGCGATTCCCTTGCCGCAGCCTCCTGAGTAGCTGGAACTACAGGCGCATGCCACCAAGCCCGATAATTTTTTTTTTTTTTTTTTTTTTTTGTATTTTTGTAGAGACATCATGTTGGCCAGGGTCGTCTCCATCTCCTGACCTAGTGATCCGCCCGCCTCAGGCTCCCAAAGTGCTGGGATTACAGGCGTCAGCCACCATGCCCGGCCCATATATTTAAATTATTAGGAGACAAATATAAAATGATTAAAAAACAAAACAGACTATCAGGAAAAAGGAGAGACTATAAAAAATGATCCAAGCATATATAAAAAGAATTAAATGTAACTTATAGAAATTAAAAATATGGTTTAAAACAATGAATAAGTTAACAGTAAACAAAACATAGTCAATGAAATAATCAGGACATTGGATGTAAATGTAAAGAAACTGTACAGAATGCAGTACAAAGGAAATACAACTAAAAAGAGGGATGATGAAGAGAAATGGAGAATAAAATGAGAGTGTCTCATATCTAACTGGTATCCAAGTTCTTGAGAATAAAAAGGAAGGGAAATATGCACCATTTGAGAGCATGGTGACCATATAGTTTCAAGAACAGATAAATCCATAGATATAGAAAGCAGAATGTAGTTTAAGCAGTATATCTAACATGGAATCTATATCAGGACACATCATACAACTAAAACTAAAGAATAAAAGATATTAACAGAAGTAGTATTTACAGACTTCTCAATGATCACTGCTATTAATTTTCATTAATTATCTTCCAAGAATATTTAAAATAAAATATTAAATGAAGAAAGAGTTTATCATTACTATTCCTACATTCTAAAGACATTTATAAATATTTATTTGAAGAAAAGAAAAAATCATGACAGAAGGAATGTCTGAACTTGAAGAAAGACTGAAAAGCAAAGAAATGGGGCAATGTGTTGGTACACCTAAACATACAATTTTCCATTTCTATTTAAAATCAATGATAATAAAAATAAGTAAATAGTGTTATTAAAAATACAAACACTGAAATACATATTAATCATATGTATATCAAAGAGACAAAGGTAATTTAAGTATTAATAAGATTTTGAAGTTGACTGGGAAAAGCGTTCAATAGTTAATAGTAGTGTTTGTTACCTTTTATGCCAGTTTTCCAATTATTGTCTTTCAGCTTCAAACCACTCTTTTTGTCCTGCTTGTGAAGTTGGAGCACTCTAACTTTTGAACATTTCCCTTTGCTAACTGATATAGTTCTAGGCTTTGTGAATAGCGAGTTCTGGAGTTACAGTGCCAAGCAATACCCTCAGAAGAATGCCTGTCTTCCAAGTTTCAATCCTCCATTTATTATAATTATAATATAGATATATTTTTTGTTATGGGATTCCAGTAAACCTCAGACGGTGTTCTACCCACTATCAGTTCACATTCCCCACCTAGCAGCT